ACTTTCCAGAAATTGCTAGAAATATCTCACGTGGGAGATTTAAAAAGCTATAAAAGCTGGAAAGTAACATCTCAACTCTGTAGCTGTTTCACATAACTGTTGTTTGTTGATTGTAGGGAATTCGCGGTGAGATCAGATTAGCTTTCTCTGCGCTTTGGATTGCATTCTATTTAATGTTTTACTAGTTTAAAATATTACTAATTTAGTAGTTTAAAATAGTACTGGTTATATTGGGTGATATTGTATGAATATCTTTGAGGGAAAACCCAGCGTTTTGTTATATTGCTTGTAATAAGAATACATTTTATTAACCTTTTTATCAGACTTGAGGATTCCCGTTTTGTTATATTTCTTGAGATAAGAATAAATTTTACTGTGGTGGTACTGAAGTTTTTCAGTTTCTATTTAGATGGTATGTGTTAGTCAAAAGGTTGAGAACAGCTACTCTAGACAACAAGAATAAAAAAAAGTGACAATAAATACCACTTAAAGAAACACTTTAGTGAAAAAAAATTTTCTACAATATTTATCAATAAATTCTTACATTCATAATATGGGGGAACAATTTGCAACACAATTTCTATTGAGTTCCATTTTTTAGCTGTTTTAGAGTTAAATAGGCATGTTGATTTCAAAACTGTAGTCTGTTTTTTCCTACTACATCAAGTTTCTTCTGTAAATCTTATGTGGATGTGACCATTCTCCATGGCATTGAGCATAGATCTTAGGAAGTACTACTGCTCTACTAATGATGGCAGGTGAATGACACTGTAGGAAACCAGCAACAGGTGAATACTTGTCTAGACTTGTTCACTTACACCTGAGATATCGTAGTGAGAAATTGTGTGTCACTCTAATATAGTGAAATGCATTCCAACATGGAGCCCTAGTTCCTGTTTGTATACAAATGTTAGCAGTAGTTATTTTTATTTATGTATGAACTCTAACTATTCCTTATATCTGACTTTGCTAGTTCCCACAAGTGCTTAAACAGTCCTGATTCATTTTGTCATATATGTGGCAGTTTTACCATTCCCAGTAAAAGGACAAATATCAGTACGTTTATCAGGCAAGCCTACTTTGCTTATTTTAAAGTGAAAACCGGTAATCAAGATAAATCACAAGATCTCACTAAAAGTGTAAGCAATGCGTCAAAAGTTTACAGATGTGAATGAAGGGAACATATTATAAATTTCCATTTGATATACCTATGATTTGGTGAGAGCCTAAAGATCACTCAAGTGAGTGTTACTTTTGTACAGTAAAAACATCAGGGTATAATAAGAAAACCAAATGTAAAATACAGTATCCTAGTTTAACACAGCCTCACTCAGCTAAATTCTCAGTACAAGTTATCAAGAATTACCCTCTTTGAAAATACAGAAATACGATTCTGGCAAATACTGAATTGACTCAAATGATGAAAATTCCATTAGTAAGGGATCAGTATGAGTTGAATGTTTTGGCACGAAACTTGGGACTATCCAAAAAAGTCTTTACAGCTGTTAGCATCAAGACTGCATGTCAAAAACATGCTTGTAAAAGAAGCTCAAGTATCCTAATTTTGGTCAAGAAAAAGTACGTTTCTGCAATACTTTTGGAGTGATGATGGATTTGTGTATTGCCTTAATATAATATAAACAGTTTAATGGAACAGAGAGGAATTTCAGTCTATGATGAAATTTGGTGGTGAATGTTCAATTATAACTCAAAGCACAGCTTGAAGCGTGTCCTTCTCCACTATGGAAATTTATTTGGTGCAGTCTCAATAAGTTACTCAGTTAGTTTGTGTGAAGAATATGAAGTTAGGTGCAGCAAAATTAGCTGCCAAGATTTGACCTGAAAATTCCACTTTTGACAGCAAGACCATTATACTTCTACCTCTGCATATAAAACTGGGTCTCATGAAGGGATTTGTTAAAGCTTTGCCAATAGAAGGTGATTGTTTCAAGTATCTCATTTTGGCATTTCCTAGCCTGTTATTTAAAAAGATAACGGCCAGTCCGTTTGGTGGTCCACAGATCTGGCATCTCTTGAAGATGAACACTTCACCAGAACAATGACCAACCTAACAAACAATGCTTGGCTGGCATTCAAAAACAATGTCAAAGACCTTCTTGGAAATACATAAGCAGAGAATTACAAGGAAATTGTCCAGCAACTTTTGGACAGTTTCAAAATACTTCGTTGCAACATGAGCATAAGACTGCAATTTTGATAATTTTCTGAAAAACTTTGGTGCAGTCAGTGATTCCACCAAGATTTGAAAGTCATGGAGACACGGTAACAAGGTAGATCTGATGTAAACAAAGGTTTGAAAGTCATTGGAGGCACTGTTCCTAGGTAGATGGCTGGCTATTGTTGAAGCATTATGCAAGAATGTCCACAGATTACACTCCAGGAGAAAAGGATAAGCAAAAATCTTTACCTTAATCTATTTGTTTACCATTTGGTTAAAAAAAAAAAAAAATTACAATTTGTATGAACAAAATTTAATTTGCAGTAACTATATAGCCTTTGCATGAATAAAATTATTCTTTGTGAGCAGTATAATTGGCAAGTTTTCCCTTTATTTTTGTTTACATGCATATTTCGCATGACTTTTGAGACAAAGAGAGTGTATCCTGTAGCTTAGAATGCTGACGGGACAGACAAAAACTGAGGTAATTTTTGGATTCAGAGGCCAAAAGTTGGTCAAAAGCAACTGACAGATCTAAGGCAATGAAATTGCTGTTTTTCCAATGAATTCATTCCAAGTTGCATTTTAAAGAGCCATCAGGAAGCTCACAAGATGAGAACATCCCTTTTTGCCTTATGTTAATGTAATAAAAATCCAAGTTTGTGTGAGTCATCTGTGTTTTATTTTGGGAAGAAGGTCATCTCGAGCCAAAAATATTAGTTTCTGAAACGTTCCAAAACTCTTATATGCATACACGATGGGTGGGGGTTAACAAAAAAATGCTCTGTCATGCCGGCATGCCAGCTGGAAAATGAGTGCGTTTCATGCTGGCACACATTTGTGACAGTGCAAACAATTCTAATAGCTCCTTTAACCCTTTCCATCTTGCTCCGGTCAAAATTACAGGTTGTGGTTTCACTCTCTATTTCTCAAGCCCGTGATATTTTCAGGCTGGAGTTTTCAAAAGAAACACCCTCAAAAAATTAAGAATAATTCATTTCTTAACCCAAACTGCTGTTTTATTCCCAAGAAAAATTAAATTTTCTTAAAAAAATTTCAAAAATTAAAAATGAATGTACAGGGTATTCATATCTTTATTTTTAAACAATTAAATAAGAGAAATAGGCACTTTTTTCACTGTTTCCTTAAAAATTATGTCATCTTTAATGGGTTAAATGATGAAATATATTTTTAACATGAGCAAATTGATGAAACACATTTTTCTGATTTTTGGTGCATATTATTTAGCAACTGAATTCAAAATAACATTAGATTTTTATTCTGTGCCTCCATTTGAATTCTGCTAAACAAAAAAGCAAGTGACTTCTCTCAAATTAATGCTTAGTTCTTATTCTAAAACTTTACTGGCTGCTGTTGACCTTAATTTCCATCATATATATTTCGTCATGCATAGTTTCATGTGAGAATTGGAACATGGAGTTGTTTTCGGAATAGTGAATAGCTTCTGCTTCATGGACAAATCTAGTATACACATAATACTTAATACAGTAAAAGTCAACATAAGACAAATAAACATTGTTTCATGAATTTTCTACTGAAAAAGGCTCATACAAACACAGGAATAATGCCATCCCCAAATAACCTTTCTCCCCTCCTCCCAAAATCTCATCTTTCTACAAGTATCTCAAATAGCTTCTAGAATTTCTTAATGCTAACAGGCATGAAAGTCAGAAATTGTATTTTTGGCACTGTATCGATGCATACTGGTTAACGAGACAAATACACAAGTAACAAATATTTTGTAATTGTACTTGAATTTCCAGCTTACAGTTGTTAATGTACCTGATTATTAAGAAGATATAATTCAATTTAAAAAATAAAAGCAGTGGTCTCAAATGGTTAAAGTAAAAAGAAAATCTTCAAAATTCGTGCAGAATGAAATAGCTTCTGCTTGAACCGCTTCTTAAAATACACTTGAATGCAAAGAAATTGACATTAGACTTTAACATTGAAGCGAATAGGGCCAGCACCAGAGGTGTTGCAATCAGTGCAACTGCAGGGGGCAGCAAAATTAAAAAATTTTACGGAGACACGGGGGGGAGGGGAAGCAAAATTTAGGAGCCACAAAGGGCTCCTAAATTTTTGTAGCTCCTAAAAATTTGTAGCAAACTGGGCTACAAAAAGCCTACCTCTGGCCCTGCACGCAAACTATTTCAAAATAACGTCGTAAATGCTATGTAATACAAAATTTTACAATTAAATTGTAAAAACTTTGGTAATGATTAATCTAGCATAAGTCTTTTACGCTCAGCATATAGTCTGATTTTGATTCACGAAAGTATATTTTTTCTAAAAGCAATTCCAGAAGTAACCTTCCTCTAATAAAAAATAACAAATTATTTGTAATTAAGTTTTTGATTTTAGAATAAAAATTCAATCTCAAATCTGATAACGGAAAGTATTTTATGATATAAAAATATAACATTTTTTAGACAATACAGAATGTGGATTGATGAGAAGAGGGGAAACCAGTCTGATAGTTTTAAACTAAAGAAAATAATTCCATACTTAATGACATATGACTACTATTCATTATCAACATTTTAAGACAATTTGATCTTGCTTTACATAGATAAATTTTCTTCTTCTGATCCTAAGTTTATCACAGCGCCAGATAGTTTAAATTCTTTAATTCTAAAAATTTTATCAGAAAATGAACAAACTGAATGCAAGATAAATCCGATTTTTAGAAGTGATATTAAGAGTTGCTCAAGAAAAATATCTGAAGGAGAGAGATCTAATTACAGGCAACCTATTTAGAGCTTACTTTCAATTTAAATTTTAAAGCCAGCATTTATACCTCTTCTTTTCTTTGTAGTTCAGCAGAAATCAATGGCTGAGCAGCAGTTGGACTGTATGCAGGAGGTGGTTCAGCTATAGGCTGCATTACAGCTGGTTGTGTAGATTCAGGCTTCATTTGAGGTGTACTATATTGAGGTAATGTTCCACTGGTAGTTTTCTGTAATAAAATCTGTCATTTTAATAAGTTACACATAAACACCGTTGAACATATATGCAAAAATTATAATTTCCTGAATATAAACCAAAAATGTTTAAACCTCTATCCAGTTATTTACAAAGTAAAATAACTTAAATAGATCTCCACCCCCAACAAAAAGTTTTTATATTAAAATTAAATTTTTTATAGCTATATGCTTGATTTATACATAAAATGCTTTTGTATACAAATATATACATATGCAAAATAAAAAAAGTTAACATATAAGTATATCTATCATTATAATTAGTAATTTTAAGAAAGTAATGTGCTTTCTAGATAATTTCATTTTTAATTTAAGAAATTTATAAAAATACAATTTTCTTATTTACATGCATGATTTTGTTTGAACTGGCTGATTAGCACTTCAAGAAAATTTGGTTTTGTAAACCTGTATAACATAGCCAATTATTGTGCTTCTAACAAAGAATAATAATTAAACTTGAAATAAAATGAAAACTTTGACTCCTCATTTTTCACTGCTTCATTTAAAATTATAACAAATATGTGCAGTAAAATTTATATTTATACATACGTACAAAATTTAAATATATTTCACGTTTAGCTATAAATTAAGAAAATAATGAGCATTTTGTAAAGGCAATTAAATTAAGACTGGTACCTGTCAGTTATAGCAACCTTGTCAAGAAACAAGAATTGGTGTATTTTAATCTTGGTATCAAATTGATGTGCCAAGGCCAAAAATAATTTTAAAATGGTGGTCGCTATGAATTCTGAGAAGGAACAACAGATTAATAAAATTTCAAACAGAAGAAGTAACAATTAAGAATGAAGTTTAATATAAAGTTTGATTTTGTAAATATTTAAGTATTAACAGAAACAACATTAAGTTAGATTAGAGACTTTTGAACTATTTTAAAAAAAAATTACATAAATTTATTTCAAGATGGCATATTTAGGCAAAGGTCACAAAGAAGACCTTAAAATATTAGCTTGAGAGTTTGAACTTCAAGCTACAGATAACTTAAAAGTCATACAATTGCAAGATCTGATAACAAGTTTTGAAACCTATGATGATGACTAGAAGAGAAACACGCTAATGTGACAATCAAAATCGTAAAAAACAACCTTATATTTAGCGTAGGTATAATGAAACACTCAATCGATTTCGAGGGCAGCTAAAGGTCCCTCCTCATCAGGAGAAAGAAATACATAGAAAGAAGAAAATAGGAATCACAGAAACACGTGGTGCTTATCAGCACTGCACGTGGTTATAACTAGATTATTAATCAGAGTTGCACTGGCCGCCTACTTTTACTGAGCCAGGCTGTCTGATCAAGCATAAAGAAATATTAGCGAAGTTAAAATAGGGAGCGAGGGGCAAATGCACATTACGCTCAAAATCTGAACTTCAAATAATGGAAAGCAACCACTGAACGGATTTTTATACCCTCTGGTAGTACCAAGTGTGAGGAGGTAACGCCATCTATCGGCAAAAATAATTGAATTAAGATAGTAGAATTTTAAAGGCATTAGGAAGGACTGGATTGGACTTCAAATCATTAACTAAACTTTCTAAATCTTTGTGAATGTGAAAAGCCTCAAGAAAATCCAATTTGCCTATGGAAGAAGCCTTTTGGATGATTTTTGCAGACCCAAAATCAAAATTATGGTTAAAAGTCCAGCTATGATACGCTATTGAAGACTTGTTAATTTCCCCTTTTTTTGACATAAGATTCATGTTCCTTGATACGAAACTTCAATGCTCTTTTTGTTTGGCCAATCTATCTTAAACCACACTGACATGATATACTATAAATTCCCCAAGAATTCAAGACAGAAACGCAATCTTTTAGAATCGAAGGGTGAATTTTATTAATAGGGGAGAAACCGACTTGAAAATTGAATTTCTGGAGAATCCGTGCAATTTTATAGCTAACAGAAGGATAAAATGGAAGCACGACAACGTCATTGATATTATTTCTAACAGTGGAATGTCTTCTTTGATGGGAATCTGAAAATTTTTTGACGGCTTTATCAATAATCACGGGAGAAAATCCACGGTCAATCGCAACTGCTCTCAAATAATTAAGTTCATTGGTAAGCAAAAATTCAGAGGAACAAACTTTTAGCGTGCGGAAAACATAATAGTAAAAAGACGCCATTTTTGCTTAATAGGGTGGCATGACTTGGCATGGGGTGGTAAACAAACTGCAAAGGGTTTACGGTACACAGTGGTGCTAAAATCGGTTTCATTGCGGATTATAAGTATATTGAGGAACGGGAGGGAATTGTTGGATTCAATTTCAAGAGTGACTTGGATGGCTGGATCAGTTGAATTCATAATAGATAGAATCTCGGATAAATCCTCTTTATAACCGTCAAAAAGTGCGAAAGTGTCGTCAACATACCGAATCCAAAGACGAAAAGATAATTTATCAAATAATTTCATCTCAAAATAGTGCATATAAATGTCAGCAAGTACCGAACTGAGAGGATTACTCATAGCCAATCCTTCAACTTGACGAAAATATGCATTTTGGAAAACAAAGTGGGTTTGACTTAGAGAAACTTTAGTAAGCGAAACCAACTCATTAATTTCAGTATGTGTGAAGTGAAATTCCCGAAGCCTAGTTTCAAGACAATTTAGTGCTCCTTCGACCGGAACATTAGTAAACAATGATTTGACATCAAATGAAACCATAATGGAACGAAGTGGGGAAATATTTTTAAGTTTATCGATGACTTCAACAGAATTTTTTACAGTGTGAATATTGTTATCAATTAGAGGAGAAAATCTGGAAACTAAATATTTGGCCAAAGGATATGAAGCAGTACCTATGTTGGAAACAATTGGTCGAAAAGGAATACCGGTTTTGTGGACTTTTGGAAGAGCATAAAGTCTAGCGCAATTAGTAATAGGCGGAATAAGTGATTTCTTCAACTGAGTTGGCAGAATGTGGGAAGATTTAATAGCACTTTTTACTTTCATGAGGTCCGAAGTTGAAGGATCTTTAGGGATCGAGCAGTATGGGCCTTCATTTATCAATTTAGAGACTCCAGTAATATATGTGTGTTTGTCCATAACAACGATCTGTCCGCCCTTATCAGCTTTAGAGATAATGATATTAGTATCAGAATGAATTTCACGTAAGATCTCATTTTCCTTTTTGCCAAGATTAGAACCCAAAGATTTATTGTTAAAATTAACGTTATGAGTAATTAGGTGGCGGATTGTATCCTTCTGCGTTTCCGAAATTTTGGAGAATTTAAAGGCTTTCTCTATAGGGGCAATGATTTGAGGAATTGAAGGTTTAGATGTCTTTGAAAAGTTGAAATTATATTTTACTGCTTTTAACTGATCCTCCGAAAGATTCCTATTGGAGATATTAACGATGGAGTTAACGTTTACAGTGGGAAGATCAGCTAGATAATTGGGACTATCCGACTGGTGTGTGAGTTTTTGGAATTTAGAAATGAGCACATTTTTATGCCGTTGACAAACGGTATCGGTTCTAGACCAGGATGTATGTTCAAATGAGGAAAAATTTTCAGTGGAATTAGCAATTTTTAAATGGAGGTAATATAATTCAAATTCAATTTTAGATAAACGTTTGCGTGTGTCCCTTATAATGTGACGAAGGAAATGTGTGAAATTGAATAATTTTAATTGAAGGAAAGTGTGAATTGAATAATTTATAAATTGAACAATTTTAGATAAATGTTTGCGTGTGTCCCTTATAATGTGACGAAGGATAATGTCTGAAATTGTCTTCATTATTTATTGGTGTTTTTTTCATGTTATAAGTAATTACTTGTTTGGACTTTCGGAATTACATTTCTTTTGTTCACTTGTTTCTTGCTTGTGCCCTTTTCACAATATGTCCACTGACAGGAACCGATTTTGTAAGTTACGCCTTAAGTGTACGAAATTCTTGAATCATCTACAGTTTCTACTTAAATGCAAACATCAAAATTTCATTCCCAAATTTATACATGTGAAATGTAGCCTTAAAGCTTCCGTTCACGTTTCAAAAATTTTGCATAAATTCAAATTGGCACTTCTTCGTCACATTATAAGGGACACACGCAAACGTTTATCTAAAATTGAATTTGAATTATATTACCTCCATTTAAAAATTGCTAATTCCACGGAAAATTTTTCCTCATTAAAACATACATCCTGGTCTAGAACCGATACCGTTTGTCAACGACATAAAAATGTGCTCATTTCTAAATTCCAAAAACTCACACACCAGTCGGATAGTCCCAATTATCTAGCTGATCTTCCCACTGTAAACGTTAACTCCATCGTTAATATCTCCAATAGGAATCTTTCGGAGGATCAGTTAAAAGTATTAAAATATAATTTCAACTTTTCAAAGACATCTAAACCTTCAATTCCTCAAATCATCGCCCCTATAGAGAAAGCCTTTAAATTCTCCAAAATTTCGGAAACGCAGAAGAAGGATACAATCCGCCACCTAATTACTCATAACGTTAATTTTAACAATAAATCTTTGGGTTCTAATCTTAGCAAAAAGGAAAATGAGATCTTACGTGAAATTCATTCTGATACTAATATCATTATCTCTAAAGCTGATAAGGGCGGACAGATCGTTGTTATGGACAAACACACATATATTACTGGAGTCTCTAAATTGATAAATGAAGGCCCATACTGCTCGATCCCTAAAGATCCTTCAACTTCGGACCTCATGAAAGTAAAAAGTGCTATTAAATCTTCCCACATTCTGCCAACTCAGTTGAAGAAATCACTTATTCCGCCTATTACTAATTGCGCTAGACTTTATGCTCTTCCAAAAGTCCACAAAACCGGTATTCCTTTTCGACCAATTGTTTCCAACATAGGTACTGCTTCATATCCTTTGGCCAAATATTTAGTTTCCAGATTTTCTCCTCTACTTGATAACAATATTCACACTGTAAAAAATTCTGTTGAAGTCATTGATAAACTTAAAAATATTTCCCCACTTCGTTCCATTATGGTT